TGCTTTGTTTTGTTTTGTTTTTGAGACAAGGTTTTTCTGCAGTTTTGGAGGCTGTCCTGGCACTAGGATCAGGTTGGCTTCAAACTCACAGAGATCTGTCTGCCTCTGCCTCCCTAGCACTGGGATTAAAGGTGTGCCCCGCCACTGCCTGGCCTCTTTTGGTAGTTTTTACTTTGTGATGGCTAATCTTCACTGTCCGCTTCTCTGGATTTAAAATCACATAGAAGACACACCCTGGACATATCTGTGAGGGCATTTCTAGAGAGGATTAATGTAGGAGGGAAGATCCACCCTAAAGCTTGTGGCATTACCCCAGGGGATAGAGATCTAAACTCAATGAACAAGCTGAAGATTGCTAGATGGTTACCAACCAACTCTTCATTCAGATGTGAGAAGACAGCCTCATGCTTTTATGGCTATGTCTCCTCTGTCACAATGCACGGGACCCTTTCAAACCATGAGTCAAAATAAACCCTTCATTCCATATATTGCCTACTTTCAAATATTCCATTGTAGAAAGGAGAAAAGTAATTTATGTTGCATTATTATTGATAGTCACCATGTAGTATAACAAGCATTTAAAAATATTCATGTCTAATGGATATTTGCTATCATTTGACTGAAATATCCCCAATGCCCTCTCATATATAACAATTTCTGATAACTACTGCTTTCTGCTTCTGTTTTACGTTTTCAGGTTCTGCCTGTAATCGAGGTCATGTGACTTTCTATGCCTGGTTTATTGCACCTAAGGTAAGGGCTGCTTAATACAAAGTGCATATTCTTGTAGTACATACATGTACTGGTTAGTTTTGGTAAACTTGGCATCAACTAGAGTCATTTTGGAAAAGGAACTCTCAGTTGAGAAAATGTCTCCATAAGATTAGCCTATTGGCTGGGAGGCAGAGGCAGGCGGATCTCTGTGAGTTCGAGGCTGGGCTGGACTGACAGCATCCAAAACAATACAGAGAAACCCTGTCTTGTAAAAACAAAACAAAACAAACAAACAAACAAACAAACAAAAAGATTAGCCTATATGCAAGTCCATCAGTCATTTTGTGATTATAGATTAATCTGGATTATAGATCAATTCTGGGTGGTGCCACCCCTGGGTAAGTGGTCCTGTATGACACAGAATGCAGGCTGAGCAATCTATGGAGAGCAAGCCAGTAAAGGGCACTCTTCCATGGTTCTGCATCAGTTACTGTCTGACTTCCCTGGATGATGGGCCACAAGCTAGAAGAAAATAAACCATTTCCCCCTGAAGTTGCTTTTGGTCATTGTGTTTTTCTTTTTCTTTTTCCTTTTATTTATATTTTGTTTTCTCTGTGGCTTTGGAGGCTGTCCTGGAACTCCAGGCTGGTCTTGAACTCACAGATATCCGCCTGCCTCTGCCTCCCAAGTGCTGGGATTAAAGGTGTGCACTACCACCACTCAGCTAGTCATGGTGTTTTATCACAGCCGTTAGACATTAACTAAGGCAATATGGCATTGCAGCAGTATGATATTTAGATTGTATATTTGTACGTAATTGTTACATTAAGTGCACATGTATCATACACAGATACTGTAGTGTGTATATGTATATACACATGTGTAATGTTAATTTTAAATGAATAAGTTGAAACAGATATAATTTTTAATATATCCTAAATAATTTATGATTTGGGAAGTAGGTGCATGCTGAAGAATAATGGGACTTAAAACCCAAATTTGTATAGGAATATCTAGCAAAGGATACTATTAAAAAGATTAAATATTTTCTCTGTCATGACTCTCTTGTATTTTTCATGCTGTCTGATGCATATATTGATTTTTTAAAAGCCTGCATTGAATGGTGTGTTGCATATTTAAATAATTGTTTCCACATCTTCTGCATTGTCTTTCTTTTGTCTGGAAATATGCCATGTAATCAGGTAAAATGATTAAACCGAATTCTTCAAGAAGAACAAGGTTTCAGTGTGACTATTGAACTTGTTTAACCAGAAATGCAAGTATGATTTGACTGCAGCCTACAGAAAAATTAACCCACAACTCATTTGGCTGAGAGATCGTTTCCACTCTTTTCCACCCATGATCTCTGAATGAGACTAAACAAGAGCTACAGTGACTAAAACAGCCACAAGCCCCTTGGCAGCATGGGGAACTGGCATCCACACCTGTCTTGTCAGTGCACAGTCGGGACATTGGCACCGCTGTAGACTACTTGGCTTCTTAGCCTGACTGTGGGGAGCAGCTGCTGCCCTCTTCCATATAAAGTGACACGGGAGGGTATACACAGTCCTAGTCAGATAGGAATTCATTCCTCTTTCCATCTAGCTCTCTAAAACACAAATACACTGTTGGAAAGGTCCAAACTATAGTGAGTTTCAGACACAGTGTCATTTTTAACTCTTAAAATAAATTTTGTCCCTTCAAAAAGTCAAGACAATAACCTTTAGAACCTTTAACATGTGTGTCTAGTTCATATCTTTATATCCAAATAGTTTTTGTGCTTATTTACCCCAAACACATTTACTATCTGAAATACCAAACAGCAGACTTACAACTCCAGCTCTATTTGCCATTTATTTAGAACAGTATTTATAAGAAGAATCAATTTTAAGCACAATGAAGAAACAAAAGAATTATGAAATCTTGTACACGAAACATCACAGTTCAAAGTAAACACATTATGATATAATTTATATTAAAAATACTCAAGGAAATAAAATACATTAGAACCATAAGCCCTAATTATACAGGTTTCTTTCCAAGCTTATTTTTCAAAGATAACTGAAAGCAAATGCAATTCAGGAAATTTACAAGCTACTGGGATGTTAGTACCAAGAGAATATTCACTCTTATGATAAAATAAATGTAAAAAAATACTCTATTAAAATGTAAGACTAATCAATTTAAATAATTGTATTACTAAGTTTATATTCCAAGTCAGAAATCCAAACCCATCATTTCACCATGAAGTCACTGACTGTTTTTGTCTAGTTTGTATAGAACACTCATATTCTCAGCAATGTGCTTGTCTCTGAGCACACACTGGGAAGTAAAGCAGACAGGATCCTGCCCTCATGGAGCTTCCAGTCTAGCGTGGCATAGATTACTGCAGTACACTAGGAGCAGTTCTGGGCAGTGGCCTCCAGGCCAGAGGAAGCACCAGCTGAGCCGAGACCTGCAGTGTTGGGGTCAGTTAATCAGTGGGAGAGGGGCAAAAGGAAGAAAAAAAAGAGAGCTTCAGGTAGAGGGTGATGGAGACTTAAAGGTCCTGAGCTTGGATGGGAACCACTGAGTTGTGGAGCAGAGTGAAGTTTTGTTTGTCAGTGCGGAGATGAGAACAGTATGGTCAGTCTTTTCAAAGCTAATGCCAATCCATCTTAACAGCTGAGCTGACCACCATCTTGTTTTCTAGCATTCTAAGAAATAACCCCCTTTAAAAATGAAATGGTGATGGGGGGGTTGGGGGGAGGGCACGGGAGGAGGGGAGGGAAAGGGAGAGGGACCTGGAACTGACTTGTGAAGCAACCTTGTTTCTGATCTAAATTTAAACTGAAAAAGAAAAAAAAAAAGAAAAAAAAATGAAATGGTGAAGACGGGCGTTGGTGGCACACGCCTTTAATCCCAGCACTCTCGAGGCAGAGGCAGGAGGATCTCTGTGAGTTCGAGGCCAGGCTGGTCTACAAGAGCTAGTTCCAGGACAGCCTCCAAAGCCACAGAAAAACCCTGTCTCTAAAAAACAAACAACAAAAAAATTAAATGGTGATAATAGATGGCATACTTAAAGAAAAAAGAGGGCCATATTTTCTATTAATAAAACAAAACTCTGGTCTTATAAAACCTGGGAATCAATACAGAAGGCAAATAACAATGATACTTCTAGGAGTGGGGTGGGGAGATGCAGACAGGCTAAAGAGGAATGAGATAGTTAAGCATGGAGGTCATGGAAGAACTCAGCATTCATATCCCACAATAATGGGAGCGATTTTCTGTAAGGGAATGAGCTATGTTTAAGTCTCTGAAAGATCATTCCGGAATGCTCTGTGCGGTAGACCCCATGAAAGACAAAGGCAGGCCGGCCAGATAAGCAGCACTGAACTGTCTCAGGAAAAGGAAGATTACAGTCACACGTAGGGTGGCGCTTATGGGACTGAATAGGAAATGGTGGCTTTGGGAGGGAAACTCAAAGGCATTTGGTGAGTTGGCATGCTGGGTGAGATAATGGGTGGTGGTGATCAAGGCGGACACCAGGTCTTTCCCATTTGGAAACCGAATTGATTGCGCTAATACTGAAGTGCTGAATGTGAAGAGAGGAGGGTTTCATGAAGGGAGGATTTGAGCACACATTGGATTGAAGGTATCTTTGCGTTGAGATGTCTGTGAGGGCTGAGGCTGTGAATGTTACAGTCCCCGGCAATATGGTCCCAACCACGCAAGTGAATGGTGTTTCTCCGAGAACACAACATGACCAAAAAGGGCGGAGGACATGTCACTGGAGGACTGGAGGGCTGAGAGGGAAAACAGCCAGACACCCGTATGACGAAAACCAAGGAAAGGGAGTTAGATGCTGCAAGCAAGAGTCAACAGGAAGAGGGAGTGAAAGTCGGTTTTCACATTTAGCAACCAGGAATTTGTTAGGGACTGAGGAGTAGAGGGCTGTGGGAAGCCAGGCTGCAGGTGACTCTGCAAGTATGCAGGTGCTTTTCTGGAACAGTGGCTCTAACAATAAAACTGGGCAGCAGCTGGCAGATACATGTAGGGCTTTGAGAAAGTGGTTATTTGCTGTTTAGCCTAGATCCTCAGTCACTGACATTCAGTTGATAGGGAGAATTTGAAGACTTGTAATAACTGAAGACCATCAATAGAAATTCAAATACAGGGTATTGCTTATCTTAGGAACCTAAAAGTCTTTAGAAGTGTCCTTGCTCTTCCCATAGGGACGAGACACCACTACAGAATTCTCAGTGGATTTAGATACACTTAAGAATATAAAAGATTCCAATGACTTCTCTAGGGAAATCACATTTTAAAATACTTTAAGAATCACATTTTAAAATATCATTTTAACTTTAACTGTTGTCCGTAGAGATCATATTCTTTAAATAATAAGTATCTTCGAATTGCTGCTGGGAGAGGGAGTTTCTCCATGGAGGCTGGCTGGGAGAGTCGCTGGAGTCCCATAAGTCTGCGGATTTTTAACCGGCACAGATGCCTTAGTGAGCAGGGATTCTCTTAAAGAAATGGGAAAACAAGCAGGAAATTCAGAAGTTAATTGAAGATACAGATTGTTTCAGAGTGACACGAGGACTGTCTTTTGGAAAATACACACGTCAGTAGTTGATGGTTTTGACCTCAATTTGCATTTCAATTAAGTACTCTAGCCCTCTCAGATTTGGGCTCTAAGAGGTCTAGAGTTGCATCTGCATTTGTGCCAGGAGCCAAGCCTGGCTCCCAATGGATGTCCAGCTACAGTTTGTTAACAGACAGATTTTGATTTTAAAAACCAAATGGTCACATATTTCTCCTGTTTTTATAACTAAACATTATACAGATGTATTTCTTTACTTTCTCTGGTTTCTTTTAGTCTTTCTGATGAATATCAGTAAAACATCGTTAGACAGTTTCATAAATCATTCACAAATCAATCAGAGGCTTGTTTCCAGTGTCTGCTACATACCGGACACTAACATTTACGTATCGGCTGATATGTAAAAATATTAGAATTAAACACTGATGTTTTATACTGACAAAAAGAACCACTGAGGAGGCAGCATTACAAGTATACAAGTAAATGTTGGCCCTGGACCCAGTCAGCTGAGATTAAGATTCCGCCTATGTTATTTTGTGTGACCTTGCACAAGAGGCATAACCCCGTATCATTATTATTCTCACTTATGTAAGGTGGACAACAATAGTACCTCCTTCACAGGATTGCCTGAGGCTAAATAGGTTATATAAATAATTAGAAAAATCCTTGATACACTGGACCATAACATTCAGTAAATGTTTTGGGAGAGGAGAGACAGCTCAGTAGGTAATATATTTGCCGTGCAAGCATAGAGACTTGAGTGGTATCCCTGGGACCAATGGAAAAATTCAGACATGGTAGTGCATGCTTGTAATCCCAATGCTAGGAAGGCAATAACAGGTAGATCCTTGAAGCTCACTGGCCAGCCAGCCTACCTAGTCAGAAAGGGTCGGGGGAATGGCATATGTCGCTCAGACTTCTGGCCTACATATGCACGTATATATTCATGTGCATTTTGTATGGGTATACACACAAACACAACAAAAAGAAATGTTAGGAGTTATTCACTTCAGTGATGAAAGTGATTACATTTTTGTTATATTTGATTATTAAATTTCAAAATACATTCTTGGTGGCATATGCCTGTAATCTCAGCATTTGGTGGCCAAGGCAGGAATGTTACAGGTTTGATATATATATATATATATATATATATATATATATATATATAGAGAGAGAGAGAGAGAGAGAGAGAGAGAGAGGAGAGTTTCAAACTAGAGTGGGATGCATAGCAAACCCCACCTAAAAAATAGATTTGTACATTTTCTAAAAACTTGAGGAAAAATATTATCATCAAAATAGGGACCCTCCCACATTTTAATAAAATAGCAATTTCATTTTGCTCCTTAACAAACCAACCACCTTTCTATAGCCAAAAGAACTTTGATATCCAGTGGTTTACCATGCTCACAGCAACCAGCTGGCTAGCTGGTTGCAGAAATAAATCATTGAAATAACAAAAAAGCGTCCTAACTTCGTTCTTACCAGGAATATCTTACTAAAATCATCACAACTTAGAATTCATTTGCAATAAAAACAGTGGACCATTAATTCTCATTTCCTAGCAAAATCTGTGTTCCTTACAACAGAAATATCAGTGATGATTGCGGGAAAAGCCAATGTTACCAAGTAGGATAAACAAAGCTCAAATCCTGACTTTGTTGTTCCCCAGGCCCAAAACTTTGGGAAACTAATTTGTGCTTTAGTGGTGTTTCATTTTTAAATAGCCAAGTCATTTAAACCTTTTGGATTTGAAGTTTTTAAATGAGACTACCTACATACATGCATAGTCTCATAAATTACAACTATCAAGTAGGTGAGCATCTTTGAGTACCTGTCAGGTTATGAAACAGAACTTTGTCAGCCATAGAGAATATTTGCACAGCCTTGCCAACCTTCTTCCTTCCTTCTCCTACAAATCACCACAATTCTCACTTGTACAGCAATCACCCTCTTTTGAAGTTTTGTCGTCTAAGTGATCTCACCCCACACTAATTATAGGAGGGATTAAAAACTGATGTTCCTGCCTTGACCTCCAAATACTGGGATTACAGGACTATGCCTCCAAGACTAAATTTGTTTTAATATTGAAAGAATGTAATTTGAAATTTATAATCAAAGAAAACAAGAATGGAATCACTTTTATCATTGAAGTGAATAGCCCCTCCCACTTCTTTCTGTTGTGTTTGTGTGTGTATGTCTACATGGGTGTGGTCATGCTAGTGGATGTGTATGTGCATATGTAAGCCACAGTCTCAGCATCTGATATCATTCCTCCAGGGCTTTTGTATAGTTAGAGGATTAATAAAATCATTCAATGCCCTTTAAATATCTTTTGATCTTCAAGCTCCTTTTCTATCCATTTTTATCATGTCAATCATGAAGAACCCAAATGCCTATATTTTCCCACGGCTGGAATGTATTGCTATGGTGTCGCTCCATACCCCATTGTCTCCTCCAGTTTTTGGAAGGTGGTAGCTGAATCTAGAGATTGATCATTCTTATATCTGTTCTCTTTGTCAAATGATTTTTCTCTTGTCTGGGACCTCTATAATATGGTACCGACAATGGCCATGGTGTAACAAACACATTCATTTATTTATTCAGGGTATAAAATGATAGCTACTACATTTTCATTTATTATTTGAGACATTTTCATGAAGAGTTTTTGCTTAACTGTTTTTAAAAATGTCAAGGTTATTGATTTTCTATAGCTCCTTTGAAATGATCAGTTTTGGATTTTACGATTTCATGTATTTAGACATTTCGGACATATTTATGTTACACATTGAAACTACTGTGTTTTTGAAACTTGAGGGGTCCTCTTTGGCCACTGAGAGTTTCTTCAAGTTGGCACATGGACTCTTCTGAGCCCATTCTGGCAGTCACGGAGTTTCTTGGCTGCCTGGGGTGAGCAGATGCTCCAGGTTCATTCTAATGTATTTCCTTCCTCAGATAGGGACCCATCATCCTTTATTATTTCTTTTGCAGGCATTGCTACACCAAATTCTGTGTAAGAGGGATGCTCAGAGCTACTATGGTCATTGCTAATTGTAAGCTTTCCTAAGGCTAGAGACACACACTCACAATTACATTCACAAGCACACATACACACAATAAACAAATAGATAAAAATTTACAGTAAAGGAAACATTTGCTTTTACCTATTATTTGACGGATTTCTGGCCATTCTCTCTGTACTTCTAGCACAGACTTCAGTTTAGCACACAGAGGGACATAGTCCATGTAATCTACTAGTATACGGACAATGCTGCCCACCAGGTGCTTCATCCATGGAACTGTAATAAACTCACAGAACTGAGAAAATTGTTAACAGTTAATTTAGTGATACTTTTCATATATCATACACATAAGCAGTATTGCTATGAAAAGTTACTCTTCATCTTTTTACAGGAAAGAAAATATTCCTGCTTATGATGACCAAAAATGAAAAGGAGATGCCATGACTATTTCTTTGAACTAATAATACTAATTGCATATTCATGGTTCTCTTTGGATCAAAGTGAACACGACATGGAAAGTCAAAGCTTTATCCCTCTAGCCCCAATATCCCACCAATTGGACACAAGTGAATAATTGCATACATTTTAAAATTGTTTGACACTCTATTTCCAATCCAAGAAAATAGATAGACTTTTTTCTTGGCCCATTGTTGCTTATCTGTCTATAATAATAAGCATATAAATTAACACTGGTTTTGTTTTGCTTGTAACATCCTTACATGAGTGAAATGTTATTATTTAAACTGTAGATTGTATATATTTACTTAGAACATGGAACACCTTCCAGAACAGAGTACATATTGGGCTATAAAACAAGGCTTAATACCTCTAACACCAAAGTCATTCAATGATATTTAATACCACAGTGGTATATATCTAGGAATCATTAACAGGAAGAAATGTTAAAGTTTAAAAATAAAAGTTAAGAAACATGCTCTTGATCAACTTTGGGGGAGTCAATAAACAAATCAAAAGGGTTGAAAGCTCAAAGCCTGGAGATTCTTGAGACAAATACGAGTTAGGATACCAGCCCAAAATGAAGGGAAAGACGCGACTCACCGGGTTATCCTTTATTATACAAGATGTCCATCCTGGAAGCACCTCCTCCTGTATCTCTGACCACACAAATGAGTTTCCAAAGATGTCTCCATGCATGCAGTCAAAGCACAGTTCCACTTGGTAGCCATTATTCAGCAGGAGCCTTAGCATAGCCTCATCGTGTAGGGCATACTGGATGGCACTGGGAAAACGAGTGTCATTCACATGCATAAAATAGCAGTTGACGTTGGCTCCGTAGGAGAGAAGCAGCCGGACAATTTCATGGCTATTGGCCCTCACCGCCACAAGCAGACAGTTGAGGGGATCTAGGTTGGGGTCTGCACCTGCAGCCAGAAGAACTTCTGTGCAGTGGATGTCATTGTTAGAGACAGCAAAATAAAGTGCAGTCTTTCTCTCGTCGTCATAGCTCTGGGAAATGTGGTCAGCAAGCAGGGCATTGACATCAAACCCGCTATCAATGAGCAGTTCCAGGCACTGGGCATTTTGTCCGTCTGCTGCTGAGTGAACTGGTGTTAGGCCACTTTTCCGGATTGCGTGTTTGGATGTTACCGGGATGAGATATTTCAGAGCACTAGAGCAAAGAAGCAACTCCTTAAACAAACCCATTACATACAGAAAATCAGATAATTAAAAGAAACTTTCTCAGTAGATAAGTGGATTCAGTTGGTTTAGTTTTCCATGTTTCCTTTATATAAGTCTGTACAGACTTGTTTAGCCTTTGCAAATCAAGATACTCCTGTTCAATGTAATTTAGTTGAGTTTTAATTTAGTTTACCATTCTAAAAATTCCCAAGGAACATCCTGGATCCAATAGGTTTGAGTCCTCAGGACTCTCTCCACTTCACAGTTTTGTCTCTGAACAATAAAATTTGTATAATCAATGGGTGTGATTGCAAAAATGTCGAAGAGAATAAGTTCATCTGATAGCATAGAAACACACTGCATAACCCTGACCAATAGAAACCATGCAGTCTTGGCAAATTATATTGGACAGCATAGACACAACCCTTTCATTTAAAGATGAACAAAATGAAGGCTTAAGAGGGACCATGACTTGTCCAAGGCCATAAGTTCCATTTGAAAGGGAGGGATAGCATTTTAATCTTTTGATTCTTATTCTTTCTTTTTCATTGATCCCTACCTATGCCATCTATTAATACTGCCCGTGTACTTCCTGTCCCCCATGCAGCTCACAAGTGAATTCTTAGTGAAAAGAAGAATCTTTAGTATTTGATCAACCTTGCATCCATCCCAGATGAAACAACTGTCCATAGCTCATGTTTCTAAATACATGTGATGAATGCTTGTGAATTTCACACTTCACTAACCATCTAGACATTCGTGAGAGCCACAAGCAAGGATAACTTGATCTCCTGTGCCTAATTTGGAGCTATCATGTGTGAATTTATGGACCCTGGGAGTAAATCCAGGTAAACTTTAACAACATGTCACTTCGCATCAATTGTGCGTCATTGGCCCCTTAAATTTGCCAGTGTGGCCACCAGATATAACGAAGCCTAGCTACTTCAAAGTTTTTGAACTTATAAGATATTGTTAATTTTTTAAAACCATTATCTCTCAGTGGATAGTTTAATACTGTGATGCTGTATTTCCATTACTGTGCTGGTTATGACATATTTTATGGTTGAAAAGTTCACTCAACTGTGTGGGAAAAAGAAATTAAATTTATAATGAATCTTTTCTATTCAATAGTATATTTGCCATTATGGTACTATATACATATGACAATGCTAAGAAATAACTGCAATAAAACACAATATTGTTACAGTATAATGCTCAGTCAATGGTGAAATGTTTAGAAACTTTATAGCCATTTGTTGAAATATTTTTTAAACACAGGAAGACATTCTTTGCCAGTTGGTAAAGATTTCTCGATTATAACTTTATTCCTCTGCAAGGAATTGTTTTTATTAAAAGAATTGTATGAATTCATTCTGTGGAAATCAAGACTACAGAATGAAAGAGGAAAAGCTATCAAATCAATTCTAAGCATTGAAATACAAAATGTGTGAAAATTTCCCTTTGAGACTTGGAGAGTAGCATATTTTGTGAGATTGTACTGTATACACACAACTTAGAGTGATCACTTCAGTATCTTACTCACAGATAATGTCCCTCATAGGCAGCTCGGTGTATTGGAAGATGTCCTGCTCTGTTAGGCACATTGCCGCTTCCTCCATATTCCAGCAGGAGGGAAATACAGTCAGGGTTTCCACCTCCTGCTGCCTCGAATAACACAGACGCCCCATCATCCGCCAAAGCAAACACATCACCACCTGGCAGTGTAAAGCGTGTGGCTTAGATGGCTGAGTAGTGTTAAGTTAGTCTGTTAAGGTCATCTGTCATCTTCCTTTCTAGTTAAAGCTCAACAATATAGACTTTTGACCATCTATGTTTGGTTTTGGTTTGTTTTTCTGTTTTTAATAGTTTCAATAAAAGCTGGGAAACATATTTCATTTTATTAAACTTTCAGGGACAGAGAGTAACAAAAACACGATTGAAAAACAAGTCAGTTGCCACTATGGATGCATGCTTCCAGAATTATGATCATGAGACTTAAATTTGGTGACAATAGGTAGCACTCTTTTAATCCAACCAATAGTTATGGATACCTAGGAGGTGCAAACACAGCCCTAAGCTGAATTAGCCTACTAAAGGAGCTTACAGAGTGAATGGAGATGTAACTAGAGGACATACAGTGTATGATGCTGGAGGGACAGTTTTGGTAGGACCACACTGTAAGGGAAGAGAGACATCTTTGATTGTGGATCTGCTGCTTACTTCATGAAGTGGGATAGGGTTTGTTTTATGTGTCTCTATTTCTTTGTCTGTAAACTAGTATAGCATATTTCTAGGGGCTATGTGATAATTCAATTAAGTTACTTTGGGAAGCACAAAAATGTCAATTTTCACCCATACAAGATCCTTTGGGGATCATGTGGTTGACTGATAGATCAGGAATCTGGAGCTGGGCACTTACGTAGCCTAGGGTATCATAAGGAGGAGGTGGAGCTTTGAGGTCTCAGGGGTGAGGTATGACACCTCTGTTGGAGAATTCATGAGAATGTCTCAAGAGACTGACTTTGAATTTTGCTGAATGTGGTTCTAACCGAAAGCAAGAATCTGACCTATATTGAGGCAGAGAGAACACTCATATTCTATTTTACTGGAGTGGGACACATGGGATTGTAATAGTGAAGTGTAAGCCTGAAAAAAAATCTAAGTAATGCAGTTGCAGTGGTGTTTTAAGTAGAATACATTATTGAGGTTGTAGTGGAGGGAGAGGAGCTAAGTTGTAATATATAGCATCGATTCTCTGCCAGGCAAAATGGAAACCTGTAGAATTGTTAGCAAATGCTAACATGGTCCGGGGGAAATGGGAAGGACCTGGCCAAGATGGCAGGCAACATGAAGACAAGAGAAACTGATATTCTGCATCCAACTGACTTTGAGAAAGAAAGTGATAGAAGATTTACAGGGAGATCTAACCTTTCAGTCCCAGTTAAGAGAGGTTGTGACATCAACAAGTGGAAAAAGAGGAGGAATTCAGCAAAGATGACCGTAAAACCCTTGCCACCAAATCTATATGTAAACCAGGCTGTCTGGAAAAAGCAATTAGGGCCGGTCATACAGATGTCTTCCTGTCACAGTTAACAGGGCTTCAGTGGAAGCTTGGGGGTTTAATGAGGGGATAGGACTTTAAACCTCACCCAATTACATTCAGGGGAGAGAGCCCATGGGCAATAAAGAGGAGAGTCTACGATTAGGATAGGATGACTTATTTCACTTACCTTTGTGGATCAGATGTTCTAACACATCATAGTGACCATACTCAGCAGCGACTCCTAAAGGTGAGACTCCAAATCCATCTTTCAGGTGAACGTTGCCGCCATGGCTCAGTAGTAGGGCTATAATATCTTTTCGGCCTTGCTTAGCTGCTTCATGCATTGCTGACCATCTCTTGACGCAGGGTTGGTCAAGGCTGGTGTTGTATTTAATCAGTGCAGATACCATGTCATAGGAGCCCTTTTTTATAGCTTGAAATATTTTTTTTAAAAAGAACAGGAATATTAACATGAAGTTGTCATGTCAACATGAGTACTTTATATTGAATTAAACTAATATCAAAACAGCTATAAGTGCCAGGCAGTGGTGGAGCATACCTTTAATTCCAGTACTTGGTAGGCAGAGGCAGGCGGATCTCTGTGAGTTCGAGGCTAGCCTGGTCTTCAAAGAAAATTATAGGATAGTCTCCAAACCTACAGAGAATCCCTGTCTCAAAAAACAAAACAAAACAAAATAAAAACAGAAAAACCAAAAAGGTATAAGCTATTCTATAAAAGGATATTATATTTCGTATATGCTTTCTCATTTATGTTTTGAAGTTTAAGTCTTCAAGAAAAAGAGTGGGGTAAGAATTTCGTGAAACAACGTTCATCATCAAGACAGAATTCTGTGTGTCCTCACTCCAAACCTCAACCTCTTTTCCAAGAAATGGGAACAACATACTATAGGGTTTCACAAATTAAATAATGTATGTTAACATTTAGTATAGTACCCAGTATAAAATATGAACACAATAAATGCTTCTTAGTATCAGTATCATTTCTAGGGCTCTGGTACTCCATATATAAATATTTATCATGTTTGTTCCCCCATATAAACACATTATTTTCCCCACTAAAGACAGTATTTGCCAACAGATTGTACTTCAGACAATCAACAGACGAGGGACTGGGCCCTCCTTCAGATGAGGGAGGTGAAATTCATCTCCTCCTACTACTATACATCATGTGTTGATAACTGTCCATTTGCCACTGTTGTTCTAACTGTGGTGCATTACCTCATCCTAGCTGGTGTCACTGCAGAGAGGAGTGAGCCTGGTTTTATCTTAGTGTTACTGTTTTGGGTTTTCATTTTTTTAGGGGGTGGGAATATCACAGTAATGAGGTTCTTCCATTTAGGATGAAATATGCTAGTAGCAAGATTAACTTCTGTATGAACACAGCAGTGTATATGCAAAGAATCTTCAACTTAAAGTCATTCCTTAAAATTTTCACTTCTAATTTAATACTTTGGAAGGATGTATTTTTCCATAGAAATAATGATGCCAATGGTGGTGAGTCATCTTTCACAGATAACCCATAAAGACAATCCAAATCAGTGGTTCTCAATCTGTAGGTCATGACCCCTTTAGGGGATCACATATCAGATATCTTACATATCAGATATTTACATTACAGTTAATAATAGTAGTAAAATCACAGTTATGAATTATCAATGAAATAATTTTATGCTTTGGGGCCACCACAACATGAAGAACTGTCTTAAAGGATTGCAGCATTAGGAAGGTTGAGAACCACTGGTCTAAACTAATAACCAATTGAAGTAATTAAATCGCAAGGCACATTATTAGTTTAATATAGTTGATAATAAAATATGAACTTTTATGTACAATTTTATTCTTAGTCTTTTATGTATGCTTTACATATAAGTTCCATAGAATTTGAAAAGCACCAATTTAAAATTGTTTAGTATTATGTAAGATTTCCTTGGAGATTTGTGGTTTTCTGGAATTCACTCTTTATTTCTAATTTGTCATTTTCTTCCTCTTTCTAAATACACGAATTTCATTCATGTAATTTATATAGCAGCTCTGAGTGATTTTCTGACTCATAAAATCACAGAGAAGGGAGCTCTGAGACATCTGGGACAGACTGGAAGAGTAAAGGAGGAAGCAGCCTGGGAGGGTGTGCTTTGATTTGAGAGACAGGGACTCACACTTTGAGAAAGAGGCGACAGAGTGCTGTGTGAGCGTGGAAAGTCATGGAGAATGGAGGCCAGTAGATCTGAGACCCCACGGGAAACAGTTTCCGGAGCTTCTTCTCCACCCAGGCCAGGGTAAGCATGGCTATCCAGCAGAAGAAAGGTAACACCACATCTCTTGGATGGGCAGAGAGTCCATCCAAGAGCAGAAAAACCCTAATAAGTGTCAGATCACAGCAAATCTGACTCATCAAGGAATGGTGACATGACTGTGAAGCCTTGTAAGTCAGAGAGATGGCTGAGTGGGAGAAGGGATCCTGGCTAGATCTATGGAAATTTTATTTTTGCCATCTGAGCATACCTCATGAAAAGATGAAGAATTAAGTTAGGAAAAATATTAAACAGAATTACATGCAACAAGGAACATTCCTCCTCTTATCTCTCCTTTGCAAGTTAATGAGCCATGAGTATCAAATTTCAAAGCAGCACAAAAGCAAAACTGATAAACTGACATGGATGATGCGTTTTCTTGGAAAACTTGAAAGTCCAGTTGTTGATGTCTCTATGTTACTAAAGACAGGTCAGGGAATTAAATCCCTGTGAAGTGTTTTACAGATGCAATGACTTTTTATTTCCTTACTTTAAGTATGCACCTTCACTGTAGCATCTATATTAACTTTCCTCTTAAGTTTATCTAGTTACCCTACACATTTAAAACAAGAGATTAATCAATATCTTTGTATCCAGAATGCCCAGCAAAACATCTGGCTTTAATATGACTTCTCTTTTCCTGGGCAACCATCCTATGTGAGGATGTGAAGTCTGTTATTACAGTCTCACAACCAAGATGTTAAGTCCACAGATCTCAGATACCAAACCCCAAATTCTTTTTTTGTTGTTGTTTTTGTCTTTTTTGTTTTTACGAGACAGGGTTTCTCTGTATTGTTTTGGAGGCTGTCGGTTCAGCCTGGCCTCGAACTCACAGAGATCCGCCTGCCTCTGCCTCCCGAGTGCTGGGATTAAAGGCGTGTGTCACCACCGCCCGGCCCCCCAAATTCTTATTCCATCCCTGCGTCCCCCAGAAAAGGCAATGTCATCTTGGGTCAAACATAGACAGTCAGTCTACCCTTTCTTCTTCAGTCAGGAGATTCTTGCTCAGCGATTAGCCGAGGACAAAAGCCTGAGAAGTTCATGGGCAGCAAGTTTTGATTACCATGCTGTGCAGTGTCACTGCTGGAAGCCCTCACAGGGGTCAGGCTCCGTGCCCCCACAGAATCGCCTCTTTCCTTCAGTCTGGTTTGGCTGCTCTGATGTGAAACTGATATTCCTCAGTTTCTCATCACCTTCCTACCTTGTTCTTCCGGCAGCATGCTGCACTCACAGCTCTCACTCCGTTTGACCCTACCTCGAGGGTCTGCGTTTAGGCACCTCGTCACTGAACTGATTTAGGTTCTTCCTGGTTATGTATACTCTGCATTTGAGAGCTAAACTGTGTGGCCATCTCGTGACAGGATAATAAAATTCATGGGCAGGAGAAATAGGCCCGGGAGCACTGAAATGTTGGACAAGGGAAGACATCCAGGCCGCAATTTATAGCCAGTGTACAGTGGCTTCTAATAGGCACTTGTTAAATGTTTATACTTGTTTCAAATTATAAACATTCTAGAAAAATAACTTACCAATCAGAAGGGGTGTTTCTCCTTTGTCATTTTTGGTGTTGGGCCAGACCCCCTTTTCTAGCAACGTTTTGACATTTTCCACCAGATCAGCTTTGACTGCCAGAGTCAAGGGTGTTTCTCCATCACAGGTCTTGAATTCCCAGACTGTCTTATAGGATGCTGAGATGTGAAAGCATTTTGTTGAAAAGTTAAGAAACATATCTGCTTATGTGATTTGGTTTCAATCAGAATCTCACTTAATATTATACATATAATATCGGGCAAAGTAATTAACGGTAAATGGAAGCATAAGAGAATATACAATAAAAAGATTACCAAATACAGCAAGGAGTAGCAGACACACATAGACTTGCTAATCCAGCTGACAGCAAGGAAACCAACACCTTCAACACACTTCAAGTTTTTCCTTAAAATAGGTTACTAATTCTCATTTCTGAATACATTGTGAATTAACTCTCCAATCCTTTTAAATATGCAAATTGCATATGAGATTGGTTTTGTCAAATGAATGTAAATGAGAAATACATTTGAATGGACATCTCATTGTGTTACAGAAGAAATATCATCAATGCCATCTATATTTGTTGGTCAAGTCATCTAATTCTCTAAGAGGCTATATAATTATCAGATATTTTTCATCTCTCAAAGTACTAAACTAGAAATCAACACTGAAGCTTAAATGGTAAGACATTCTTATATGTTCTATAAAATTCTGAGATGTGAAAAACACCTAAAACATAATGTGTTGACTTATCATAGTGATGTTTTCATTATTAAAAGATTAATGTAATATAAAGACAACTGTAGTATATGTTATATATGTACATATATATATACATATATATATGCATAGTGATACATATCCTTTTGGAAACTAGATCAAGAATAGTTGAAGATGAAAAATTTTAATTTAACTCTTAGAAATCTTTTGTTTTTTTGTTTCTTTATTAATGTGCATGTCTGTGTATGCACATTAATACATGTGAGTGCATGCCACATGTGTACAGGTGCCTGCTCAGGCCAGAAGAGAGTGTTGGGACCCCTAATGCTGGAGTTACAGGTGGTTGTGAGCTGCCGGATGTGGATGCTGGGAACCAAACTCACTTCATGTGAAAGAGCAGCAAGTGCTGATCCATCTCTCCAGCCCCTCAGATTCACTTTTCAAAGAAAAATAGCTTTCTATTCAGTCAACTGACTAGTGATCTACGGAGCACTTTTATCAAGCACAGGCAGCAGCACCACCTTTCCACCACCCTGTACCACATTCCTAGGTGAATGGATGCAAAAGCCGTATTGCAGGTGCCACACGTCATGCTAGTCTTTTGTTCTGCTTTTTAGTTTTGCTTGTTATGCTCATTTGGAACTCCCCTTTTCTCTGGCTTTGCGCAAGGATTGTCATAGTTTCTTACCATCCAGAACAGTCTCGAGTATCTGTTGAATGGGCTGAACAACAGCTTCATGCAATGGGAACCATCCTTTCTCATCAGCTTCATCCAGAGCATATTTATATTGCACATACTCTTGGAGCTCAAAAATGTGACCTGCAGGAAATGCGTGGACTCATTACACACTAGCCCTGACAAGGTGAACGTTCAGTTCCATGTCATTGTAGGTCACGGGCCCACTCACCTTGCCTTATGGCCTCTACAAGCTTTCTGTTTTGATCGCTTAGTGACACCAGTCTAGCAGAGAGAGAGAAAAAAGAAACAGTCAAGCCATATTTGTGCTGGTGATGTATTTTAAGGATCTGAACAATGTATTTGAGTTTTTGCAAATATCTGTAATAATCAAACTTTGCAAGAAAATCATATAGCTGATTTTCTCCACTTTAAAATTTCCCAGGAGTCAGACAGAGAGTATACCAGTGAAGAGAGCAAAATACAAGATTAAGAGGGCTGGGGAGATGTCTCTAAACAATCGAAATGGGAAAAATGACTGGAGTCAGAGTCAAGGGTTTGGGTACAGGCCTGACTTCATGGCCCGAGGAAAATCCATTAGCCTTTCTGGGTGTTGGTTTCTTCATCTGGGTGGGGTTAAATAGGGAGATTGCTAAGACTCTACCAACTTTCAAAACTATGTGCTCACTAAATGGTACTTGGCTTTTAGCAATTGTGGAGAGATACTTGGGAGTTTAGGATCCACGTGCATGTTACAACTATTTAATCAATTGATCAGCAGGTAGAACATTTATACTGAATATACTCCCGGTCAGTGGTCCAGCAGGTCAGGAGTTAAGCTCACATGACAATTATCTGACACATGTGCTTCTTAAATGGAAACAGGCCCTTCATAACAAAGGTCAGGCAGAAATATCTGCTAACATTGTAGAGTTGTGAATGCCTTGTGGGGAGCTCTGAGGTTCTAGATTCTCTCAGAGGTTTCAGTCCTATGAAAAAGCCAAACACCAGAAATTTTATGAAACATGCACACTTTTTAAAAGTTAAAAGGTTTCTATAATCTGAAGCGAAACCAGAGTCTTACAAGTTCACTTTCAAAAGTTAAAGAGCAGAAGAGTCGGAGAACTGGTTAGCTGGTCAAGTGCTTCCTGCAGAGGTTAAGGGACTTTAGTTCAGATCCCCAGCAGACACCTGTAATCCCAGCAGTGGGGGTAGAGACAAGAGGATGTCTGGGGCTTGCCCAGATAGGCAGGCTAGCTGAATTCCAGATTCACTGAGAGATCCTCTTTTAAACAGAAAGGCAAGAGAGAGCCACTCAATACTGACCTCTGACCTCCTCAGAGGTGTGTGCACCTGTGCTCCTGTGAGAGCATGAACTCCAGAGCACTCATGTGCTTGGACAACCCCCCACCCCCCCACAAGCACACAAGTACACTGCACACATAGCTCAAAGGCAATAATTTCATAGCAATGAGTGTATGCACACAAGCATTACTAAGTTCCAGACTATAAAATTTAAAGCATGAAAATAGAATGTAAAGGTAACCTAAGGCCTGTTTTTTTCATTATGTATCAAGTATAGTAGGTACTAGGTTTTTCAGTTTAAGATTCTATTGTTACTATGTTTGTATCATCAATTTCATGTAGGGTTTTACTTGTCTATTCACAAAGGTTAGCTGACAAGGTGGCATGCTACGTACAAACTTCTGTTTATTTTATATTGTTTTTACAAATTTGTTCAAACCCTACTCATTGTCCCCAACTCCACATTAATTTAGAATATAGTCAGTCTCCAAAGAAATTCAGCTAAGCAATTTCCCACTTGGGAAATTTCCATTTTCTACATGAGATGCATATTTGTAGATCAGATTACTAAAATTCGTGTAAAGTTGACATTTTAAAGATGTTAGACTTCATATCAGAAAAAGAGCCTGTGTGTCGTGGGGGGAAGTAAGCATTTTTATAGAGGAGGAGTGAGTCTCCCATAAAAATGACTGTCATAAAGAAATCTGCTGAGGGTTGTTGGTTAGAATGCTACCTTTCAGGATGGACTACAGCTTGGCTTGCTTCAATGGACTCCTGAATACAGAGCTGAATGTCATAACTTGCAAGATGGTCTTCATTAGGGTCATCATTAATATTCATATCTGAAAATAAAAATGAAAGACATGATTTTCTTATTGTCAGCAAGGGATTCAGAACAATAGATGTAGTTAACCTAACAAATGCAAAATGAAAAGCAGAATTCATTCACCTCTCCTTGGTACATACATACAAATAGCTAAGATCTCAATCCATGTATACATAAATTTCATCTTATTAACTTCAGATGTTCTGTTGAAACCTTTAATTACCTACCCCTTGAATGTCTGGGTCTTAGAACTTTGACTTTCTAGCACTGTCTACAGAAGGGCTCGTTGTCTTTTACCAAGTTTCTAATGGATCCTAACTCTGGCCCATCTTTTACACAACACATTAGAACCTTAGAACTCAACTGGAGAAGGGGTCAGTCAACAGTGATCCTTTCATATGCTCTACCATCCTCGGATGTTAGGTCTGGTGCTCTCAGATCATCTGAACATTTGAGATGAGGGTCGTCTTAATGTCTGTAGAGGCCCCCATTAATTCCCCTGATCATTTCTGTCCACTTATCACAAGCCACTGCTTCTGACTAGTCTGTCTCCCCTGAGGATAATATGTAAAAATGAAAAGACAGTAGGCTCGCTGGCTTATTTTTTTTAAAATATCAAGTTAGAAGAGTAAATTTTTATCTTTAATGTTAGGTCAGCTCTTTTGGTTATAGGCAGAATGTTTAGTAAGTATAAAAGCTGAAAATAGCCCAACAGTGGTGTGACTAAGCAACATGAAATTGTCATTAGTTAGCAGTATTCCCAAGCCCGGTGCATTCCTTCTGACATTTGACACGGCACTGTGCCTTTTTGAGGGGAGAAACAGAAACAAAGTCTGCAAGCAATTTCCAGACACAGATGACATCCGCTGTACGTCTTCTCAGTCAAGGTCACATAATCTGGACAGACAGCTTTAGAGGCCCCCAGCCTCTGGACACACTGCACAGAAACCCTGCCATTGTGAGGGTTTTGTTTTTTTCATTTTTCTGTGCAGAGCCTTGCCTGGTGGTATAGTTTCTGTGGTCCCAGCACTCAGGAGGTGGAGATAGGAGATAGGAGGCTCTTAAGTTTCAGGCCAGCCTGCAGGGTAGTAACGAGACCTCATCTCAAAACAACAAATAAAACACCACCGCCATCAACACCAACAAACTGTTCTGTATAAGAAGCCTTATGGCTGTTTTAGAACAGATGGGTAAACCGCAAGGCTATGAGACTGAATGAAAGACTGTCCCATGCCTGACTGAGCATACTCCCTAACACTGGCATAGTTGTCACCTCACAGGTCAATGTGCATATCTGGGTTCTTCCTTGCCAAATCAATTCAAATACTCTTTTTATTTATTTGTTTGTTTAAAGCTGATTCATTGTCTCTTGTCCCTAGACTGACTGCACAAGACCAGAGGACTAAGGTGCAACCTCAGTGTACAGAGAAGCACCTCCGCATGGTCTGCATGGTCTGGGGTCTTTACATGAATAAATGATGGAGCTAATAAATGAATGAGGAGTCACTGAGCTCTTCCTTATTCTTACAAATGACCATTTCTCTCAGGAATGCAGTTTTGGGTTTTATTTTTCCAACTGAACAAACTGACTGCTGACTCCATATCTGGCTTCATTTTTGTTTTTACATCTGTTGCTTTCTTCACAAGGATGTCTCAGCGGCTCTTCACCCTGGTCCCCACTGCCTCAAGCCTGGCCCAGGAAGCTGCCTCTTTAAGCAGCCCTTGCTGGAATTCTGCACTCCCTCTCTCGCCCTCTTTCTGTGACTGTTTCTTCTTATGTAACATTTGCTTGTCATTTGAATTTCCATGTGCTCCATGTCTGCTTTGAGAACTCCTCACACATTTGTGTTTTCGTTCTCACCGGACGATTGCTTTCCAGAGAGAGAGGGAAACAAGCTCATTTCTATTTGGCAGTGCTGGCGGCCCAGCGTGTCACACATGCTAGGCTAGCACTGAACCACACCCTAGGCCATGGCTTCTCTTTTATAGTTTTCTTCGTTATTTACACTCCCAATTTATCTGCTCTTCCAAGTGGCAAATGACTTCCCAGTGGGGACAGAAGTTCTTCACTCATTTCCAACGAGTCTGCACTGAGTTCTTCAGATAACACAATTAGATGACACAGTGAAGCCTTATGCACTGCTGCCTTTCTTGCTGATGTAACTTCAGAGATCGGGCTTATGTGGGTACCAGATTAGTATGGGATGGAGAGCCTCTCACTTGTTCAAATACTCAGTTTAAGTCTAACCCTGATTGAAACCTGGGCAGTCAGTGCATGAAACACTACATGTCCCTTAGAGCCCACGTTGTCAGACCCATTTGGAGCAAGGCTTCCTGCACGTTGAGGTTGGAGCTGGTCTGTGAAATGGCTTCCCAACATTCTTCAATGGCCTTTTAACTATCACGAAGAGGGATGTTATCAACCAGGCTTAGCACTCTGGAGGCAGAGGCAGGAGGATCTTTGTGAGTTCGAGGCCAGCTTGGTCTACAGAGCCAGTTCTAGGCTAGCCAGGGTTACACAGAGAAACCTTGGCTAGAAAAACTAAAACGGAACAAAGGGGGGGATGGAAGATGTTACCAGTATTCTTAGCTGTTTTACAGCCATAATAAAAACCTGGTGAAGTTACAGGAAAACTATGACACAGCAGCTCCAAGCTGTCTCCAGCAGAACCGACAGTTTAGATGACGGTTAGCTCTGTATAGGTGCAGTCAGGTGTCTGAACATCCCTGAAGGGGTGCATTGGGGTAGCATGGAGGTATTCAGGAACAATAAGAAAGGCAGGCAGTGAGTGACTGACCTGTATTGAAAACGTGGAATGACAAGGATGACAGATCAATTAGAAATTATTAAAGAAAGAGCTTCTCAAGGGTATGAAGAGAGGGCAGATAGCATTTAGCATCAATTGTCTCACTTCTTAGTCTAGTCTAGAGAACGTACTTGGTCCTCTCTTAAGAACAATGTGCCATAGTGCACTTAATTTTGTTCTGATTGTTCTGGAGAGTGGGGCAGTGGTGGCATGCTCCTTTAATCTCAGCACTCAGGAGGCAGAGGCAGGTGGATCTCCGTGAGTTCGAGGCCAGCTCTGGTCTACAAGAGTGAGTTCCAGGACAGCCTCCAAAGCCACAGAGAAACCCTGTCTCAAAAAACCAAATATATATATAATAGTATATATATAGTTCTGGAGAAGCCCATAGTGGGAGCACCTACTCTTTAGTAGAGCTGTCTTAGAAAATGATTGAGGTAACCCCCTCTCGTGTGTGTGTGTGTGTGTGTGTGTGTGAGAGAGAGAGAGAGAGAGAGAGAGAGAGAGAGAGAGAGAGAGAGAGAGAGAGAGAGAGAGAGAAACAAAGAGAGAAGACAGAGAGGGAGTATGTGTGAGTGTACCGCATGAGAGACTGTGTGTATATGATTGTGTGAGAGAATGTGAGTATATGCATGAGTGTATGTGCGTGTGAGTGTGTATACATGTGTGAGAGCATGTGCATGTGTGTGTTAGTGTGTGTGTGAGAAAGAGTGTGAGTGTATGTATGTATGTGACAGAGTGTGTGGTGTATGTGTGTGAGTACACTGTGTGAGAGTGCGTATGAGTGGGTGAGACAGTGTGTGAGAAAGAATGTGAGTTTATGTATGAGTGTATATGTGTGTGAGTGTGTATACATGTGTGAGAATATGTGTATGTGTGTGTTGGTGTGTGTGAGAGTCTACGAGTGTATGCGTGTGAGTGTGAACATAGGTGTGTAAGAATATGCACGTGTGTGTATGTGTGTGTATGCACGTGTGAGTGCGTGTGTGTGAGTGTAGGCCACCAATCAAAGTTGGTTGCTTCTTCTATGACTTTCACATTATTTTTGTGAGAGACCCTCTCACTAAACCTGGGGCTTACATTTTCACACAGACTGGCTGGCCAGTGAGCTCGCAAGATCCAGATGTCTCCCTCCTCCTGAGGTTACAGATGTTCACCACCATGCTTGGTGTTGCATATGGGTGCTGGGGATCTGAATTCAGGTCCTTACACTTGCTCATCAGGTGCTAACCTACTGATCAATTCCCCAGCCCAAATATTAAGGAACTTTTATGTAAATTGATTTCATTTACAGCACTGGTTAACCTTGCTAAGAGCAGACACATATTTAGTGGCAAATTATGTCTCTGAAGGGACATGCAACTTTGAATGTAAAGTTAACTCATGGATATTCTGGAGCTTTTTAAAGTTTTAGATAGTTTAAAAAAAACAGCTAAATTCCAGGTTTTTAAATGCAAAGCCCCAAATGTTTAGTTAAGATCTAAATGTTTATTAATTTGTTTTACAGATGGCTGAGGTGAATCCCAAGTTTACACGTAGAATACCATAAGCCATAAATCATGGAGGGTGGATTTGTCTCAAGAACCTTGCATGGGGCTGGAGGGATGGCTCAGCAGTAAAGAGAACTGGCTGCTCTTCCAGAGGACCAGGGTTCAACTCCCAGCACCCACATGGGCAGTTCACAACTGTCTGTAACTCTAGTTCGAGGTGACCTGATACCCTCACACAGACATAAATGTGGGCAAACACGAATACACGTAAGGTAGAAATTAATAAATTATAAAAAAAAGCACTTTGCACACACACCTGTCTTGCAATCCCTATTCTAATTGTATGCTCTAGGCAATTATGGATCATTGCAGAGGAGTGGAGGTTGAGCCTTAATCCACCAAAACTTTCACAGCTGATGACGCCTGAGCAGAGCAAGGAGAGCATGCTCTTCAAGGTCTTCGGGAGCTGCCGTCTGTTGTCTTTGACAGAAAACACTTTGATCCTGTTCCTGACAGTCAGCGCTTGGTGACAATAACTTCCAAAAATAACCACTAGCTCCCAAAGGCACATAAATCCCTTCCTTTGGCTCTGAGCAGGGAGGTTTTGTGTTGCATAGGGTGGTCTGAGGTTTCCTAAGCTTGTCTTCATTCCGTTCTTTTTGTTTTGGAGTCTAAACATCACTGTCCCGGGGGAAAAAAGGATCAGCATGCCAGCTGGTGGC